ATATATATATATATATATATATATATATATATATATATATATATATATATATATATATATATATATATATATATATATATATATATATATATATATAGGTCACACTTAAATGTTTGAAATTCTCCAACATTAAGTCATGTGGACTTTAAACAGACCCTCCAATGTGGCAGAAATAAAACAGTGCTGTATAAAAACATGAATGCATGAATGACATGCACCCTCCAGCTATGATGGATGGTGCAATTGATGAAATCAACATTTTAAAACCCCCCAAAAAACTAAATGTTGCTTGTAATCAGGTTTTCTTTGACAAATAAAATTAGTTTGAGGGTCTGAAATATTTAAGTTTGACTACTTCTTAGAACAGTGCAGCTGATTGCAGGTAACTGTGTTTTGCAGTCATGGATCTGGTGTATTGGAGGAACATGCGGTGGACCGGTGTGGTATTTACTGGTCTGGTGATGTGCCTGGCCAGCCTCTTCCAGCTGAGCGCCATCACTGTGCTCTCTCACGTGTGCCTGGCCATCATGTGCACCACCGCCACGCTCCGTCTTTACTACAAACTACTGGAAGTGCTGCGCTGGAACCCTGGTGTTCACCCCTTCCAGTGAGTTGGTCTTCATTCGTTCTTGAATGTTCACTGGATCTCCTCCTCTACTGCAGAAATGTTCACGTTTCTCCTGATTTTGGGAAAAGGCGTCAGGATTAATGCCCTCCTTGCGTTCCACGTTTGCGATTTTGTGCCCAGGTCGTATCTGGATTACGACGGCTCTCTGACCGATGAGGAGACGGTGATGCTGGTCGAAGAGGTGGTGCTGCTGGTCGCCTTTGCCGTCACAGAGATTAAACGCCTTCTCTTCATCGAGAACGTGATAGACTCTATTAAGGTCTGAGAGTGATAATAATCAAAGATATGATAATACACACTGTATATATATGTGTATAGTGCTTTAGAACAGTGAACTTTGTCACATTTTATCATGTTAGAACATCAACCTTTGAGGTATTTTAATTATGTAACTGACCAACACAAACTAGTTTGCAATGAAGAACAGAAAAACACTTTCTGGCTGCACATGTGAAAATTGGGTAGAGACATATCCCAAAAGATCTTTATCAGTATTTGAAGTGAAACACCACAATTTTTAGACTTTTATTAAAAAAACAAAGTGGTTATTATGTATAATTTACTTCCAAATCAGAGCCATGTGGTACTTTGTGTTGGTCTTTTATATAAAATCTTAATAAAACTAAAAAGGATGTGGTTGTCACGTGATAAAAAAAACGACCTGTGAATACTTTTAAAATACTTTTAAAAAGATAGATTCACGAGCAAAGGTGTTGGATTTGAAAATGTTTGGCACCCTCTAGTGGTAGCAGAAAAACATTTTTAGCCTCTATATATTTTACTATAAGAGCATAATCTCACACACTCTCAAAGTCCTAAAAGCTGTTTCCGTATGTATAAATACGCTTTAACATAGAAATATAATTCATTAAGTTAGAATTCAAAATGGAATTCAAAAGACAAGAAAACATGGCATCAAAATATGAGAGCATCTACAAAGTAAGGATGGCAAGAAAATAAAAAACTGTTAAAACTCAGTGTCTCCATAACAACCATTTTGTACACATTGTTACCTGGGTTTACAAAATACAGTATAAGGCGCTGTACGACATTTATTTAAACTTGGCAACGAGGTTAGAAAGAGAAAAACAGTGCAAATATTATATTTTTTAAAATAAATGCCAATTTATTTTTAAAAATGCTAAAAAAGAGCAAAACCTCCCACAATATGATCTATGGTGTTGGTGTATATTACACTTCTGTACTTTTAAAACTACAGGATCAGAGCTGATCACCAATCAATCAATGGGCAGTTCCAATACAGAAAATGTGATCTCCTTTATTCAAAAAATGGCCTCATTTCCTGTCTGTAAACAGCTCAACTAACAGCATGTATGCTGATGTGCAGTTTTTTAGTTTAGTAAAAAAAAAATCTGTATAAATATTCCAGCCAATGCTAAATAAAATTAAAAAAAAGAAGAAGAAAACCCAACAAAACAAAAAGCAAATCAATCAAAATCTGAATTCAGTCAGAAAGAACCTGATTGGTGCAGGTCTGGTTTTGTAAATTAAACTGTTTGGTTTGTGTTGGAACATCCACTTGTTTACCTTCCAGCTACATAATATCTTCTTAACGATCTAATGATTCATCTTCTGTCCCTCAGTTTGTGTTGCTCCTCTATCTGCTGACGTACGTGGGCATCGCCACCAACGGGCTGACTCTGATCATAGCTGGTGAGAAACATTAGCCAATATTTAAATAAACCAACTCCAAACTCCTGCTTCACACTTTAAACTCTCTGTCCTGATCTGGTAACAAAAGATTTATTCATCCTTGCGTTTTAGCTTGATTCTGTTTTGTTTTTGCTTCCAGCTGTGATTGCGGTTTTCTCCCTTCCTCTGTTATACAAAAAACAACAGGTAAACATTTTATTTATTTTTGTTAAAGTTAGATTTGCTTTAGGGATACTAACTTCTCGTTTTGTTGCCAGGTTCGGATAAGGAAGGTTGTCAGAGCGTTCAGAGCGTTTGTGAAGAAAATCAGAAATCTGTAAGTGACCCGCTACATAAAACACGTTGTTTTTGTGACAATAATGCCAAGCTACTGGTATCTTTCTCACTGTGCATTGCCTCGTTGCAGGTTTGACAGTTTGTATGAGATGGTGAGACCCTCTGCTGCCCCTGCCTCCAAGCCTGCACCCCCAGCTGCTCCCGCCATCAAACAGAAACCCAAGTCCAAGTAACTTTTTGGTTGCACACTGAAGGAATTTGGGATTTAGAAAGCGTTCGTCCTCTGTGGGGCCGCCGGTGGGGCTGCTCATTTCCATCTCTCCACTGTGATTGTTTATGGGAGCAAGATTTAATTGATGCCGACAGAGAAAACAAAGCTGCCATTCACACACAGAGAGGGACGGGCAGAGGATGAAGTGGGAAATGTTATTTACTGAGATGCTCTCTGTGGGCAACATTAATGTTACCAGTTTGCACTGTCAATTTCTACAAATGGTGACAAAATATACCTTCACATACATATATACAGGTTGCTTATTATCAAGCTCTAAACTTAAGTTTAAACAACTTTGGAAAAACTTAAAAAGCTAATCACACTTTGCTTAGTTAGCAAATTTATTTTAATCAGGCTCTTTTTTCTTGCTTTCATAGTCGTTTATCTTAAGAGTTCATGTAAAACAATGATTTTCAGTTAAAGCACTAAATCCGAGGGATTAGTTTAAATTATTTTGTTTAGAAAAGTGAACTTTATCGCTTCTGCTGTAACTTGTAGTTCACCGTTTGAACACCAGGAGGCAGTGCTGAAAACAATGCTGACCGTCAGATCGACTAGCTCTGATTTACCGAATAATTTCGTGAGCAAAAACAACAACAAACAAAACTGCCGGTCGAGAACATCTCGGTAAACAAACAAATCCACTTATACAAGACTTTACATTTTATATAACTCTAATTCCTGGTGCAAGATCACTTCATGTGGTCGTTTTATTTCATGTGAATATATTTATACTTCCAATGCGGTCGTTTCCATGAATATCCCACAGAAACCTTCCAGAAGAAGGACTAAAATTGTTTAAGGTTTTTTTTATTATTATTATTGTTCATAATCAACACTTCTGCTTCAGTTAGCTGCACTCATACTTTCTGATCTCGACCATCTGGACTTGTGGCGCTCCACTGGAACCCCACAGATCCAGCTGGATACCAGCTTGGATCTCAAAACACTAAAGTCTTCAACTGTTTCACATTTTGTCACGTTACAACCTGAGATTTCTGCTTGTTTTATTAGGATTTTGAGAGACAGACCAACACCAAATAGTGCATAATTGTGAAGTTGAAGGGAAACCATACAAGGTCTCACATGAGACCAGCATTGAATGCAAAATGTAAACTCCATCTCAAGGGTTACGCATGTTGGTGGCAGCATAATGATGTGGGAGTCGAGGGTGAAATCTAAAATGGATTTGTTCAAATCAAAGCATATCCATGAATGAGAATCTGTGTTAACATGTTTTTTTTTTTTTTTTTTTTTTTTGTCCAATCTGGCTGAGCAAAAAAAAAAAAAGCTCACATTTTGTTTCCTTTGTTGATGTCAACTATTTTAACAACCTTCTTCCACTTCAAAATAATGCACTAGTTTCTACTGATCTCTAACGTACTGTAAAACACATCGACGCTTGTGACCTGAAAATTTTCACCCGTCTAAGTTGTAAACTCACTTTTAAGTCTAGTAAATGTGGGGACTTTTCTTACTGACAGCTAGCTGCCAACACTGAGCCAGTGTGTGGGTATTTCAGTGCAATTTCCTCGTCAGAAACCCGCTTTATGCATATCAAATCAATGTGAAAACGAAGCTGCACTCAAACTATTGTGTCTTAATGAGCTTAAAATACATACAGTGTGTAGTATATATCTACATATATTCATATGTACTGCATTAACATGATCTTTTTTCTTTCTGTCATCTCTTGTGATGTGGGGATGTAGATCTGCAGACATTTCGGCTCTCGGTGTTTTCACTCGTCTCGTTTTTCCATCAGTGCTTTCCATTCAACCTGCATTTTCTTCACTTTTGGTGCCATGGAATAAATAGAAAGTCCTGAAAGTTTGTTTGTGTTAAATTGGTTTTACAGCATGTACAATTATACACTGTAAAACTTAATCGTGATTTTCTAACAATTTAATCACTGCAGATATCATCGCTGATGTGACTTTTTTTTTGTTTTTGTTTTACAATATTTCTATTGGTACTTACCATTTGTATTATTTCCTACTGGAATGTTGTTCCCCAATAAAGAAAAGTATTTGCTATACAAGTGTGTTGTGCCTATAAAAAAAATTCAACATGGGTCGCTGGAGCTCAGCTTTTTGTTGCAACTTCTGTGTTTAAAAGAATTGCACCTCAAGCTGAGAATAAAACTAGCTTTAATTATTAATGCAAAAATAAAAAAAATAGAAAACATACAATTTACCTTCATTTAAAGCTGCAGAAGCACATTTAACCACTAGGTGTCAATCTTGGGAAGGTGCTACTGAGCCGGAGCTGTGAGTGATCTAAGATAACACACCATACACACCAAACACTTTCAACATGATTTCATTGCAGCGTCTAGCTCATTATTAGTAAAAGGCCCTTTTTAAAATGTTCCCAGTATTTAATAATAAAAAACATCCCTTTGTCTGGGAGCCACGGCAATGTGTTGGTGACCTTGAGATTCTTTTTCTTTTTAAAAGAGGAAAAAGAAAAAAAAAACTAGCGTCAATTCACGCTCTCTTTCATATCTTCAAGGCCAGCTTCTCTTATTGCCTTAAATCGTGACTCAGAGCTTCCATTTGTCAGTGTTTACTTAAAAAGCTCACTGAACACGCTCATGTGGAGCTGCTTGACGTTTCACAGCAGTTCAAAATCAATCACGTTTTTGACTGTTTTCTCTCTTTACGTGCCGCGTTTGTGATTTTCGTGCGTCACACCGAGACCCGGCTGGTAGAAAATGTGCATTTTAATACATGTAAATACATCACACAGGAAAATAGCTTATATTCAGCTCTTCACAGTGGATTATGTCATTGTTACAGTGGGCTGTGGAGGTCAGTAAGACCCCCCCAAACGGCACTTAGACAGGTTAGTTATTTAGAAGAACGGCACATTAAAACTCAAACTCTGATTCACTTTGACTACACAGCTGATGTCACACCTCTAGTGTCTGATAAGTAAAGGGTTAGGTTTACAGTGCCTTGAAAAAGGACCACATTTTATCACATTGCAACAAACTTTAATGTATTTTAATGAGATTCTATGTGAAAGACGATAGTAGCTCATAATTATTAAAAAATAAAAGTTTAAGTGATGCATGGTTTTTTATTATTTTTCACTAATGAAACTGACAATTGTCATCTTGACAAGTGACATTTTCTCTATCCAGATATCAGATTTACTTTGATTTACAATCTAGAACTACAGTGATGCACGGTGGTGGTAGTATCAAGATGTGGGGATGTGGGTGGGGATGTTTCCCACCCCAACACCATCTTCAAATCAGACAAAATTGCTATCAAATGTTTGTGCAGCAACATTTTTTGTTTGTGCTGCTTTGGCTTTGAAGATATTAATGAAAGTTTAAAGGTCAAAAGGTCAACCAGGTCCCCCACCCCCACTTTTATGAAATCAAAATTACCTTTAAAATTCTCATTATCTTCAAAGCCAAACACAATCTGACATTTGTGTTTTTATGTTTAAGTATTTATAGCTATTCTCCTTTTTGCATGTGCTGTTTTTATTGTTGCATTGCAGTTTTCCCTCTCCTTCCTAAACAAATGTCTCCTATGGGAGACTAATAAATTACCTTAATTTCAATAGGACAGCAGCACAAACGAAAATATTTGCTGCACAAACCAGCATGAATGTAGCACTGATTTGAAGAAGGTGGGGAACGGAAAGCCAGTCAGAGTTGGTGGAAAAAAAGACCTGAATACGGAGCAATCCCAAAAAAAACAAAAAAAAACAACATAAAGAAAAATGGTGTGGAGATCCAACAAGACAACCAACCTCCATAAATAAACAGCAATAATGACAATAAAACGATTTAGACTGAAGCATGTTTGGCATAGACAAAGTCCAGATTCAACAAGATGATGATGTGGGCAAAAAAAAAAAAAAAAAAAAGGGGGGAAAAAATTTTTTTTTCTTAACAAACGGGGGTGGAAGATA